CTCATTTGTCATCAGATTACTACAAAATATTAGATTTTAACTGTTTCTTCAGGTCTTCATTTTCTAATTAAGGTTTCCTTGTCACTCAAAACGTAACTAAATCTGCATGCTTTTCCCTTGTTAACCTTTTTTCATAATAGGCTTAGTAATGAAAGAATGAGGGGGGAAAAGATATTTTTCCTCCACTACAATAGCATGTGTAACTGTAATTTGCTAATTTATAATTTATTAAAATACTTGCATATTTTTATAGCTAGCAAATTTCCCAAACAGTATTCCTAATGGTCACATCAAAATTAGACAAAGATAATTAATTTAGAAAATAAGTGTAAATCATTATATTGCTTACCTTATAATTTGGTGTTAGGTTTTTTTATTTTTAATACTGCATGTATCTTTAAAAAGTATCTTGAGTATAACTTAGTATTATAGCTTGAACTACACTTTTTCACTGTCAACAGAAGACAATAGTTTAGGAAAAAAAGGAAATTAAAAAGATAAGACAACTGCAAACAATATAACCTAGCTTTTCTTCTATTATAGAAGATAGTAAGAATAGAAGGTCTACAGATTAAATAGCAGTACTATGTCTGTGCTAATTTCTTGATTTTGACAATTATATTGTAGCTATGGTGCCATGACCTGAAATAAATATAGAGGGACATCATTTCTGCAATTTGCTTTGAAAAAGTTCAGGAAATGAAATGCACTACGTTTGCATGTGACAAACATGTATGTACATATATGTATATATGAATGTATGCATGTGTATAAATGTATATACTAATACACATACTTGTAAGAATCAGAAGCACTGATATAATCTTTAAGAATTTTTCTACTTTTTTTTGAAATTCTGTATCATTTCTATCCTTTTTTCTGTTCTGCTCTTTAAAATAAAAACAAAAAACAAAAAAAGAATTATACCAACTCAGCAATACTGAATTAAATGTGTATATGTGGTGAGGGGGGATAAGCAAATGTAAAATGTTAAACCTTCTGGGAATAGCAATCTTTAGCATTATTATTATAACTTTTCTGTATGTAAAATGAGTTAAAAAGAGAACATGGTTTAATAACTAGGAAATTCCAAAAATAAGCAAAATAACATGCTACATTTCTAGCCAATAGGTGGTGCCAGTAAGTACTTCGTTTATTTTAATCCTACAAGAAAGCCACGTTTCAAGTGCAGTGTTCAAAAATCAGAGGCACTTATTAAAAATACTTTTGCTTTATACTATTTCTGCAATACTGAATTGAGGACACCGCTAAGTGTGAACAGGACCCTTAACAACAAAATGCAATCTAACACTTCCAAAAGTCTCCTTTCACCTTAGCTAAATAAGAACAGTGTTCTTTTTGTTTTCCTAAATTGTTTTCCCTAAATGCTATAGGGCCCTTAATAAGGTAATTAAAAAGTACAGGATAAAAAAATAACCACCTTTGCTCATCTTACTAAAGCAAAAGGAAGATTCTGAAAATTTACATAATTACTAAATATGATTTCTTCTAGTTGTAAGCCACATGTACAACTACAGGAAGTGATATCTCACAAATATGCAGATGATATGAAAAGATGTTGAAGTTCTTCTTTGGACAGACTAAATCACTGCCAATGGCTTTTGCATACTTTATATCAATCTTTAGAACTGAATTTGCCTAATATCACATTCCTAGAATTCAACTGCTATCTACCAGAGGTGAAGTTTATAATAATCATATGCTGTATAAAGCCTAAACATGGCTCATTTTAATGACTATTTTAAGAATTTTAAATTCTTGAAGCATTGCTTTTGGATTGTAAAATTCTTAAACAGCACCACTTTGAAGATTTCAAATTACTTAACTTAATTCAATCTTTCAGTAGAGATATATTCAATTAGTTTTACCTTTAAAAATTAAAATGAATCACTTACAATTTTCTCCCAGTATCTAAACTCAAAGACAGTGGTTAATATATCTTTGCAACATAAAGTCTTTGGTCAGAAGGGGAAAAAAAACCCAGTTAACTCGATGAATCCCTTGGTTTATTAAAGAGAAAAGATTACAACTCCAAGAAACAGGAGGACATCAATGAAGCATAAAAGGTCTGGAAATAGCTGGTAGAATTTGTCTCCCAAGTAATTTCAAAGTTATTCTTTCCTTCTTTTTTTAGTACCAATGACTAAGGAATCTCAGGGGAAAACAGGAAAAATACTTCTTAAGAGTGAACTCGATTGCCTTCAAAATATTTGACTGCACTGCTTCCATTTTTAATCAACAATTCTGTGCTCCAAGGAGAAAAGAGTGGAAGTCAGGGTATCAACCACTGTGAGAGCTGAGCATCAGGTACCCCCAATTTCCCACCTCAGTTTCTTAGGCTTGGGCTGCCTCTTGTACTTTTAAGTAAGTCACGGGAGCCTCTCCCTTCAATAGTAAAGCCTGAAAACAGAATATAGATCTTGTCTACTGGGCATACAGCCCCGTTTCCTCAAGAACATAAACAGATCAATGTTCAAGCAAGACTGCAGGGTCCAAACTTTTATGGGAAGCATAGTTCTTGGTTTAAAATCTGTGTTCTGAGCTTTCTCCCTCTGGAGCTGTACTGTACAGTGATGAGGCTTAGGACCGGGTTGGCCTTGGTTTGAAAAGGCTAGTAGGGATCGGGTGACTGAAAGGCATAGAGATGCTGGTTGCATAGGACTGGCTGAAGAAGAAGAATGGCAAAAGGATGAGGAAAGCTAAGGGCAAGAGAGCAGCAGAAGCACGTAAAATGAGCCAAACCTTTGGCTGTCTATAAATCACAATAGTAGTAAGGCAGAAGAGAAAACAGGGATGGATCCCACCAAAGGGAGGAGAAAACCTTCATAGAAAATTCTATAGTGCCATGATTTCTTTTGCCTTTTAGAAAGGCATTAACAAGCAGTTCTCATAATAATGACAAGGGCTATGAAAAGAAAAAGGAAACTCAAGAAATAAGGTGATTTAAGTCTCATTTTCTGGTACAGTCTCAAACGGGATTACAGTAAAGGCAGACTGCATTTGTTTATGACACATGAGATGGATCTGCAGGACAATGCACACTTCTTGCCCATGTCCTGAGGCATGGGATGCACGTCCTGGGATGCTACCCTGGACACTGGCCCAGAGGAACACCATATGACTTACCCAGGAAATCAAAACTTTCTATTGGCTACAGAAAGAAAATCACAATTATTTCTAATCATATATTCTGTTTAGCCCAATGCAGTCATAATGTTCTATTTTAACAAATAACCAGACTTTAATGGGATATTTTACATGCCTTTTATCAGATCAACCTTCAAAACCTGGTGTCTAGGTCTAGTGACAGTACCCTCAGCCTCTATGCTGCATTCGGTTCCTGTGCAGCATTCAACAGCCACACAGGGCGGATGCCTACGGGCCTGGAGTACAAGTCCAGAGTGACTCTAATGAGCAAATAATCGTCAGTGGGATCAAGGAAAACCCAAGACTCAGGACAGAACTACTAGATCTGGCTGGAAGCCAATGAATTCAGTCACTAAGTTTTAAAAAAACAAAAAAGTAGTAGTAGCTCTGCCATCTTACTGAGGATGCAATGAAATAAATTCACTTGATCGGTACACAATCAAAACTGTCATAATTCTTTCACAGGAAAAGAGAAGATAGGCACATATTTCAGTTTCTATGAATTTTACTTTTTTCTTCATGTCCTCCTATCCTATTATCTCCTCTTAGTCTTAAAAGGACTCTGCCCTCAATAGTGTGTGTTTCAAGTTTCTTGTCTTATTTAGTGGTAGATGTAGGATTCTGTCCAAAGCAAATAAAATCCATCTGCATCAAATAAACCCAAGTTACTTGGTTAATTCTTGGGAGAAGAAGAAGAGAAGTGAGCTTAGCAGTCAATTCTGCTAGAAGGGCTGCCATGCATGAGCTGTGGCACTCAAGGTTGTAACTAAACTGAACCACAGAGCTGCTGTCTGCAGTTATTTCCCATGGGCAAGTCTGGCCTAGCAAGATATACATGAAGCTGATAAAAACATGATCTGAGCTCAAATCTGGTTCTTCTAATTGTCAGACAAGTTAGATACTCTCTCTCTCTCTCTCTCTCTCTCTCTCTCTCTCTCTTTTCCTCCCTCCCTCCCTCTGTCTGTCTCTCTGTCTCTCTGATATCCCCTCTACAGGGTGTTTTTAAAAACAATGCATTCAGTTAAGGAACAGTTCATTTAATTTAAAGCATCACTAGATCAAGTGAAGCACGTAACTACATACAATTCTACTTCAATGTCACTTTGAAGAGCACAGGATATAAATAATATTAACTAAATTTTGCTATTAATCAAACTTAAAAGACATCATTACATATGCTAGATAATCTACATAAGCTATATAATGTCACATATTCTATTATATGCTACTTTACTAAAATAACATAAACATAAACATACTTTTCTAACATAACATAAACATAAACATATATATTTTACATGTAATGTCCAGTGGTATATTTCAGTTCCTTTGTGAATCAGTGTGCACACATTTTCTCTATATAACCTCCAATCAGCATCACTCTCTTTAGTTAACTTCACTATGTGAAGGTGTGTATTTGTTATCCAGGAAGTAAAGTCTTTAAAGTCTGTTGCAGTGAACTGTAGAGGGTAAAGCATGCTTTTCATGATCTTTACTGACACATTTCCATTTATCAAACCCATTTTGACCTAAAAGTAACAAAACTCTGGTACATCTGTTGTTTAATTTTTAACCTTTGGTAAGGGTACCACTGAACAAATTCTGGTCCTCTGTTTTGTTTCAAACCAGAATTGAACACATTTTTTTGGAGAACTATATAAAACTCGGTCACAATATACAGAGACATACCACAATGTTTACTGATCATTTTTAAAGTTAAGCAGTGACAAGAGAGGAAAAAAATAAAAAGGTTCATCATTTTTTCATTTCATGTGTACTTTTCTGGCCTGAAACAGAAGTGTATGGAGATAAAGCCTGCCCCATATTCTTACCTGCATTGGAGCCAGTCAAGTTGTAGCGTGCATTCAGCTTTTTGATGATGTTCTCGTGAATTTGGTACCACTCGCTCTCTGTGTTACACCTATGAAAACAGTATCACTTGGATGAGCTTCAGTGATGCATGATATCAAGCAATAACCTTAACAGTACATTTGCTCTTTTTGTCATAAAAATTATAGTGATAATGTTCTTCCCTAAATCTCCTTAGACTTCCCTGGAACCTACTGCATATGACTGTCAGCTCTAGCATGGTTCCTCCAAGACGAGCAGAAATGCCCACTCTGCTAATATTTTTTTTTTGGTCTTTTTCCTTTTTATTGGTACCGGGGATCAAACTCACGACTGCCTGCTTGTAAGGCAGGCGCTCATGCTGCTGAGCTAAATCCCCAGCCCCGAAATGCCCACTCTGATAATGCCTGCTCACCTACCTAACAACAGCATGGCTAGAGAGAACGATTCTTAGATTAAAGTGGCCCTAGGACAGAAAAAAAAAAAAAAAAAAAAAAAACAAAAAACTCACAGAAGAATGCATAAAGCTGTGCAGACTAAAAAGAGTTTTATAACTAGATTTGAAATCTTATGATTAAATGAGCTACGTTCCTTAAGCAGGTTACTTACTGCCTCTGTGCCTTGATTTCCTCATGATACAGAGATAATATGCAAGAACAGTGACGGCAAATCTTTTAGAGCTCTCAACAATAAACTGCTGGCTGTGGCACTCAGGATGCAGGTTCACCACCACTGAACTACAACATTAAACGTGAGTCTAGAATTATCTCGTTCATGTAGGGTACTTAGTGCTCAATAAATATTATTACTCAGTAAGTAGCTAGTCTCTATCTTATATGGCCAGCAAGAAAAGGTCAACAAGTAAATAAAACAAAAGTGACATTAACACAGCTTAACAATAGCAAAATGCTGGCAAGATCTAGCAAAGAGCACTGAAGTACTCCACATCTTCGGAAGATGCTGTCTCCCTCTTCTTATTCCCATAGTTATCTATGCCTGTTCTAGCTCTTCTCGCTTGCTGGCTCATGTTACCTCTGTTTACATGGTGTAGCGCATCTAGCAGACAAGGAAGGTTATTGAGGACTGGACCTAAGGCTGGCTGCTATCCAAGTCGTCTTCAGTACAATGAAAGGTGACTTAACATCAGAGGATGGATGGGTGGAGATATGGGTGAATGGAAAGATACCACAAATGTTCCTTTCCATGTGTCCTAAGTATCAAGATTTTATATCCAATAAATTCAAACATTCCCACAGTACAAGTTTCTTTTCCTCGTGATTATGTCTGGGGCGGATAATGTACAATTATTAGGAGATGTATCCTATCTGTATTAGGAGATATATTGTATATTATCTATATTAGGAGATCTAACATATATTTAATTTTATTAACCCAGGCTTTTCCAGGATGAACATGAGAGGTTTTTTTCCAAGCCAGTTAACAATGGCATATCAAACTGAGCCCAAAATCTTGAGAGCATAGGAAATTAAGATGGAAGAAACAATCCCACCTCTTATTTTGAGACATCAAATTGCTACTTACAATATTATGACTCCAGTCTTCTTATTTCCCAGCAGGGAAGGAAGAAAAATAGTCTGTTCCCTATTAGTTGAGTGATTTCAGAGATTATATCTTTCATTAAAAACTCCGAATAAAATTAAAGCTCCTAAAGAGGGCAACTGAAATATCTTGTAGTCTCAGCGAAGGTATTTGTTACTATTCTCTAAGTCCCAAATGGGTTAGGGATTTAGTCATTTCAACAAACAGAAACTTCTTCCAAACTGTTTCTAACCAGCACCCTTCTACAGTGTCTTACTAAATTCAGTTTTTCCCTATGGACAGTGACCATTCTGACCAGTTTTTCAACAGACTTCACAGTTTGTTGAATTGGCATTTTTAAGGAATTTCTCTTCTACAGAGAATTATCTAAAACCTATTTGATGCTTAAGAAAAAAGACAATAAAATACCACAAAGAGCAACATGATTATTTTTATGAGAGGCAGAGTTGGAATTCATGGATCTCCTTTAGCTGCTTAATCAAGGGTGACGCAGGTAACTGTCAGTCCTTCCATTTTCCTTGTGGCAAGATAAATATGACGCTCACTACCCATGCCTGAAAGACTATTCTAAGATATGATAGGACTACATTTGCAAAAAATTTTAGGTTTTGTAATGAGCAATGACACAAAACATCATCATCACATTATTATGCAGTGGTGTGAAATAACATCTGTGAAGACAGAGCCTGATCAACAGAGAGCTCAAGTTCTGGAGTTGGATAATCCTAACTGCAAATCTGATTCCCTTTCTCATTAGCTGTGGGTAATTCTAGGCAAGTCATTGAACTCTCTGTCCTCATACATATAAAGGGGAGCTCACAGCATCTGCTCCTGAGGTTTATTGTGTGGAGAAAATGACATGCATGGATTAAGCATACAGTAAATACATGATGTTTCATGGCTACTACAAAGAAGATTACTACAGGCCAATGGTTACAAATGAGGTGCTGCCACCTAATACAAAAGTAACAAGTTCTGTTATCCGTTAGTTTCAAAGAGATTTTCAAGTTTGCAGTCAAGGTCAAGGTTTTATTCCTCTTATTGGGAATAAAGTGAATTCCCAGGCATCATCCACAGTCTATGGATAAATCTTTAACTATTTACTAAACATGTTGAGAGGTCCCACAAAGTGGAGAGTACATAAATCCATGAATCATGCAACAGTGGTCAAAAAGCACTTTGAAGTACACGTCCCATAGTCAGCGGGCCAGCAGTGTTAGCACTACATATGAAAAAGAAATAGCAGTATGTGTAGGGGGTATCAGCACACTCTTTGGGAAAAAAAAAGACAAGCAATTTGCCAAATCAAGTTTGTTCTTAATACAGTATCATGGGTTAAATTGCACTCTCCCAAAAGACAATGTTGAGCCCTAATATCCAATATCCTAGAATATCACCTTATTTAGGAAAAGTGTTCTTACAGAAGTATGTGTTATAATAAGATCACTGAAGAGAAGCTCAATCTTATGTGACTGTGTTCTCATAAAAGTTGAAATCTGGACAGAGATGGCCATGTACACAGGGAGAACAAAATGTCAAGAAGGAAGCAGACATCAAGTGACACATCTATAAGCCTCAGAATGTCAAACGCTATGAACAAACCATGAGATGCACAAAGACAGAAGCACAAAGTTGACTTTCCCTCACAGCTACACAAAGCGCCAACCCTGCCACTCACTGACCTCCAGGACTCTCAGTAAATTGTCATTCAACTGTTATGCTGTTTGTGGTACTTTGTTATGGAAGATCCAACAAACGTATACGTGGCATAAGAACATCGTCACCTGAGCTTCCCTTTCCTGATTCTAATTAATTTATATTAAAAATACAGCATTTCCTCCTTCAAAGAACAAACTGTTTGAAGGCGAATAAATACTAGGTTTATAAATTCGTCAGAGGTACTCTAGATGGTAGATCATCTAATTACTAAACTGTATGTATTCACTGGCTCTTGATTTCATATTCCTTTGACCAGCAAATAGTGACCTGCAGGCTCATTTATAACAATTCAACTGATCATGGGGCTCACAAACATCTTATAAATCTAATCCATCCACTGTTCTTCAATTACTGCATAAAGTAGTGTTTGCCCAACTGGATCCACACATACCCTGGGCCTAGCCAGTCCCTCCCTGTGCACGCGTCTTACATGTATACTTTCAGGACGAGGTCATCCTTTGTCTCTCCTGTTAGCAGATCAGCGATGCTGAGAACTGCACAGCCAAAGGGCCTCCGATACTGCACGCTGCAGGCATTCTTCTTTTCTCCTGCTCCCATTCGACCTGTCCAATTAAACAGTAAATGTGACCCATGGAGACATCTGATTGGATGCATCTTAAATACAGCCACACAGAGTGACAAGACAAGCCAGACAAATTGTAACGGAGTCCCCGGAAGGACACAGGTGCAGGGCAACAGAAAACTCGGTTTCAGTCTCTAATCACAAGGGCTCTAATCACAAGGCTATATGATCTTGAGCAAGCAGCTTGCATTCTCAGTAGCAGTGTTTTCTGTAGAACACAAAGAGTGGAGCTGATCCCACTTTTGGGAACCACCTTCCTGCTCCTAGGATTCATGGAGGCAGACCAGGAGGTTCACCTCATTAAACATAGTGATGGTAACTGTTTCGTTTTCTATTTAAAAATAAATTATGTAATTAAAAGTTGTTTCAAAAATTTCACTTTTGAAAGAAGTGGAGAGTCTTTGAATACACCAAGTAAGCACAGATGGTGAAACGAGCAGGCTCCTGCCTTATAGAGCAGGCAGTTCACAACTCAGATCGCTCATCCCTCCTGGCATCATTTTGACCATTAGAAAAGCTTAAATTTGTTTCAAGTAGAATGCTTTAAACCATGCTATGGACATAGTATTTTAATTTCCTGTTTGCAAATTAATTATCAGTGAGTGGATTATTTTGAAAACCAAAAGCAATAAGTATGCTAAAGTCGAAATACAGCATATTAACATGGGAAAAATATCTGCCAATTTGTCTCCAGATGCTTGTCAACAGATTCATAAATTGTTTCCATCAGAGAAAAATTCTAAAGCACATCAAGATGTCTCCAGCATTGCCAAAATCTAATGTTGAATAGGATAATGAAACAAACAGAAGGATAGCATTATCCAATTTGGTTTTCCATTCACCACTGATAAAGGAAAAACATCTCTGCAATTTGTCATCTTTAGGGAAATATTTATAAATAGTGGCCTGAAAACCTGTTAGTTTATGAATAGAATCAAAACTAAAAATAGTCAGTTGCTTTTTAGATGATGAAAATGTAAGAACTTTAAACATCACCGTCCTATGATCTGTGGCTGTTTTCTGTGACTAAATTTCAATGTTTGTAATTTTAGTATAATTTCTGCCTGCAAAGCAAACACCTTGAAATGTCATATTTAAATTTAACTATCAACCAACCATACTTTTACTTACAGAACTGATTTAAACAAATTTAAAATACTAGTCACTCATTACATTAAAAAATGTTCTATTTAACTCTATTTTGAATGATTATTTTGATTACATTAACATGAAATATACTACAATCTAGATCAATATAATGACTTTGAAAAACAATTTTTTAAGTCATTCCTTTTTAGACCCAACATGACACAGTGCTCAGGAAGAAGGCTGCTCTGAGAACCGCATGGGAACCCTCTCCTGGTAGCTCTGTCATTGCCCACACTGTGAGGCTTAACGACACACACAGCTCTACGTTTTCTTTCCTGGCTCTGTGGGCACCGTGGATACCAAGGCCTCAGTTTTAATTACTATACCAAAAGGACAACATGAGGCCAGCCTTGGTGTACCCAAGTCTAAGACTAGTAAGAATGCATAGTACTGGTCCAATTTCTAGGAAAATTCTCTAAGCAGGATGGAACGTGGGAGGAGTGGGGGAAAATAAACTATGAAGCAATCAGTCAGAAGCCAAACGAGGAGGCAAACACATTGAAAGAATTCAATAACTCAGAATGTACAGAGGAATATGCAACTATTAATTTCTCTTTCTCCATCCCCCTTTTTTTTCTAAATCTGGGAATAAATTCGCAGAACTGATGTATTATTGCTTCTGCTTCCGGCAGTCAGTGAGGGTCACGGTGTCCTTTTCCCAGTAAAGCAGGTACAAGGGACATTCTATACAAAAATAAGAAGTTCTTGTCCCTAACATAACAGTCTTTCACTCCTTAATTTCACTGCTTCAAAGGAACTGGCAAACTAAGTTTAACCTTTTTTACAGTGTTTTACCTAAATTTCATTTCTCCTCAGTCTCAAAAGTACCAAGCCAGTAAGTCAGTCTTGCAAATTTTCTGCAACAATCCTAGGAAAGTATTCATTTGACCAAATTTAGGGTGGAAGGTAATTTCTGGTTCAACATTCTTTCTGACAACTGAATGAGCATAAAAACCTTAGGAAGAAACATCACTTTTTCATGTTTTGTCATTGCTCAAACCTACAGATACAGCCTACAAAGTTCTGTAAGCAAAAGTGACTTATATTTACCTCAGTGCTATAGAATATTATATTTATATTTAAGTAATAGTTACATGAAGATATACAGAACCACATTTTATATTAACAACTGGCAATACGAATTTGAATAAAAACAAAGAAAATTATATAACATATTATAAACAAAGAAAATTACATAAAATATTGTATACCGAGAACAGACCAAAGTTTTAGTGCAAAGCTACATGAAAGCCTAGGCTCCAAATTTTTCAATATTTTAAAATAATTTTTTTTATTTTTCCTCACATGTTCATTTATGAAAATTAAAAACAAGGGAATTATCTATGTTGGAAATGTGACATATTTTATATTTTTCTCTAGGTACAAGGTGGTTGCTATATGTATAAAACAAAAGAATATAAAAACAAAGATCACATCGCAGGACTGCACAGAGTGTTATTAACTCTTGCAGACATATTCCCAAGCAAGTAATGCAACACAGATAGTGAAGAAGTGGAACAAATCCCAAGATCAACTGGTTGGCCTGAATAGAAAAACCGTGTTGGCTGTGCTATTCGTCATTTCGCCTTGCTGCTCTGCTATAAAACACCTGTTTTTAGAGGCATTTCATGTGGAAAATGAAGGAACATATTCTGACTCTGATGAATATGGAGAACACCAAGTTTTTTCTGCAAAATGTTACCTAATGGTACATTACACATAAATGTTTTCATGGTAAAATCAAATTTGGGGAATGCTAGGATCAAAAAAGTTAGAAATGCATATTTGTTTTTCCTTGTGGGGCTTCTCAGAGCCTTTAATAAACTGATGACACCATACAGATAACACATACAGTACTTGGTGCCTCAGACCTCTTTCCTTATAGCATCTTGGGTAGCAGCACTCTGTGGTACTTACTGTACATTTAGAAGAGGCTGGATGGTGTAAAGCTTTTATGAACTCACCTCCTGAAAGCTTATTTTATGCTACCAGAAATGGGAACTTAAAAAAAGAATACAAAATACTTGAATGAGATTTGTTTAGGAGGTCCAATAAAACAAAATGCACTACTTAATAAATTACTTAATGACTTATACTGAAAGAGACAAAGTGTATTTATGGTGAATGAAAAAGTTATACGTGAGGTTGCAAAGGCCAGAAAAACTAATAAGCTCTGTGCTTCTTGGATTCAAATGAAGCTGCAGACAGCCCAAACCAAAATTCAAAACACAAAAATCCAAACAAAAACATCCACCGAGAGACTTCTCAGCTACTTGTCCTAATGCGGTGCCAAGTGCTGTACCTACCGATTCGGATAATGTGCACGGTAATGTAGATGTCCTTTCGTAACTCGCTGCTACCCAAATCCTACCAAAAAGAAAGCTGGGTTATTATAGGAGTCACAATGTATATGGCAGCACCTAAAAAGCATATTACGTTATTTTCATAAATAGAGGACAGAGATTAATATAATGTTTGTAGCAGAAGCATTTAAATTCTACTTTAAAAATATCAACTTTAAGTCAATTATTGTCAAGAAATACTTCAAAAGAAAGACCAAGATTGATTCAATCCCTCAATTGCTCATTCCTTAAACATTTATGAAATACTTACTAAATATAAGGCCCCACGCTAAGCTCCGTCACTACTATACTTTGGTAAAAGTATAATAGGGCCAATATTACATTAATGGAAATATTAAACACACTATTAAAATAATATGCTAAAGAAAGCAAGGTTAACTATAAATGGTGGTATTTAGAATTCTGGCTAGAGATGTAATTTGGGTGTTATTTACAATGGTTAATAAGCAAATCCACTATTTTCTCTCACAATAATATCTCCTAATTAATATGAAATACATATACTCCTCATGTAATAACTAAGTTCTAGTCTTGACAATAAGTGGTTAGCTTAATTGGTCACTAAATGAGGAATGGTATACAGTATGTATACTGCAATATTCAGAACAGAGAAATGGTCAAAGGAAACTCCAACCTGATGATTGTGCTTTTATTTGTACACCTCTTACATGCAGTACTATAATGCATAATAGAACACAAAGCTTCAATTTACTATACAGCACAATTAGCAAAAATTATAGTACTGTACTATAAAAGAAGCCACCAAAAGACCACACTGCAGCTCATGCTCGTAAGTCTGAACAGTGGCAGATCAGGTGAGTCATCAGGACAACATCTGTATCACCGGGAGGATGTGACCCATGGGTGAAACAAGCTCCACTCACCATGAAGAGAGAGCAGTGTCGTTCTGGTTTCTCCGGAGCTTTGGGAAGCCCATTTCTATTCAGTCTCAAGAAAAATCTCTCACTGTAAGAGGGAAAACAAGTTTAATACTTAAACATGATTTAATATTTATCCATTTTTATAATTGCTCTTTATCCTAAGAGTTAAGCTCAACATTTATTAGGCCATTCACAAAATTGCTTATATAAGTTAAGGGAGTATTGATGACAATAATCATTTGCTCCACTTCTGATAAAACTGGCAGAGCAGCAAAATATAGCTGCAAAATAATTATCTATTAAAACAACAGGATAGGTTTCCCTGCCCTTAATAACACTGATATTATTTTAAAAGTGGAAACCAATGTACAAAATGAGAAAACGCAGCCTAATTTCTTTGTGTATACCTAAGATTTTCTGTTATTTAATTAAAAGTAAGGACACACGCCTTTATATTTTTATGGACTTCTGTAATTCAAAATGCAAACAGAATTTTGAAAAGTAACACTTGAATTTTTTTTTAGTCTGTAAGTAAGCAGAACTCAAACTGAACATGCATTTGAAAATACAGTGCCACATACATTTAATGTAAACACAAATGATGCTAATTCAAGTCAGTAAGTACTGAGGAACGGTGTTTAGAGCCAAAGTAATGTATGACATGTATGTTAAAAAATGAAATGATTCACAAATTCAAGAAAAATGAATCTACCGGCTACCATGAGCTTTGAATTCTAACAAAATTTCAATATCCTGGTGCCCAAGATAGAATCAAACAGCGGCTGCCGCGGGCAAAGAACACAAAACCAATATCCACTGAACATGAAATGATCACACGGTGTGGCCTTGCTTAGCTGCTTCGGCCTAGCAGGCATGGAGGGGCACAGGGTGCAGGACCTTAGAAAAAGGCGTGGAGCTCCCCAGTCTCTGTGTCACTCATCACTAGATCTTTGCCTTAAACAATGGGGCTCTCTATCTAAATATACACAAAGAGAAAAATGAAAACCATAAACAGATCTCTAAGGAGGCATATGGATCTGAATTCATGGCTGTTTTGGAACACTTTTGTTCTCTTTTGTGAGCTAAATCTAGACAGATATATTTAACAGATTTAACTGGCTAAACGTCATCTTTTTCTTTTATCATGCTTATTTCTGACTTCTCTTATGAGAAAGGGTAACCAATTCATATTTCTATAAGGCCATTTTCATTCCTATTACCCAGGTTTTTCTACAAAGCAGGTGGCTGATCAGGTATGAATGATGTGAATATAAATTGTTGCAAGGATCCTCAACTGAAGTTCAATTCCCACATGGTATTATTCTGAGACAGGAGCTGGCAATGACAGATTCAACCAAGGATGCAAAGCTAATTAGTCTCATGCAATTGTCATTTACTATAATTAAACAAAAAGGACAGTAGGCTACCATTATAGTTGAAGAAAATTCAATATTGATTTAAAGTATGATGAAAATATATATATATAATAATTCAGTGTGGGATAAAACAATTACATTTGAAATAGTCGTATCATAAGGTAATACTTTGGCAAACCACCATTTGAGAAGGACTCTGCCAAGGACTTCACATGGATTAATTTCTTTCATATTCACTAGGCTCCTAGGCAGTAGGTACTATTATAGTACAGACCCATTTTATAGATGGGAAATCTAAGATAAAAATAGTTTTGCCCAAAATCACAAAGCTGGAATATTTCTAAGTAAAGATTCTCTCCAAAATAGCAACTGAAATTTGAATTTTACAGGAAAATTGTTTCTGCTATATACAAATAATGAGCAAACATTCCCAGAATACTGAGATAAAAACACAGTCATTCATGTACTTGAGCCACTCATATGACCTTATCAAGCCAGGTCCCAAGATTTCAGGGTAAATGTTGCCCTTCTTCGGATAACAGAAATGAAAGACATGAATTCTGACTTAAAATCCTTCAGGACAGCCCTCAGTAGAAATTATTCTACTAAGGAAACTCCAGAAACATTTAAGAATTTAATTTTACTTCCTCAAAACTACTAAGGCTTCAACCTATTTATTTCTTAGTCGCCAGCACTTGCTAACAAGTTTATTAGTTACAAAACACAAGCTGTGTGAACAGCTTCCCATCACATCTATCACTGGCAGTAGAAGCCACACTGCCTGTCTTGAGATCTGCATCTCTGTGAGGTCTCTCTGTACGCATACTGAAACATTTGAGACCGCCATACTATCTTCTGACAGATCAGTTTACAATGATGAATACCAACACGATTAATATATAAAAGTCAGCCAACATTTTAGATATTAAAACACAAATTTCCACACTGTTACAAAATACTATTCCTTATCTGCAAGTTTCATCAATGGTCTGGTTAACAAAACAAAACAAAAACCTGTTTTCTAAAATATTCTATTTCAGAGGAAGATCCTTTTTTGCTCTGTCACTATTCAATTTTACTAGTCTAGACAGAATCCTAATTATGCATGTATTATAGTATATCATATCCCATTTGAGAAAGAATATCAATATGTACCAAACCCATGACGTATCACTAGGCTTTGGGGTGCCCTAAGGGAGAGATGGAAATAGACTGAAGATAACACTCTGAAGAAACAAGTCATGTGCAATTTATTAAAACCCAGAGTGTTTTTAAAAGGGAAGATAAGAAAAATCTCTGTGACCAACTAAAACCATTTTTATTCATTTGGTAACATACTGTTGTTAAACAAACACAATCAATTCCTCTTCAGTTTTACTAATATAGCAACTACTTAACCAGCAAATGGTTTTGGAGGAAACAAAGGCTTATAGTGATGTATTTCAGAATCTTTGGGTTATAATTACCCACCCACGCTCACAGGTTTAGAGAATAGCAGAATATATGCCTGAACAATTTAATGATACTTCATTCTGGCACATCCTCTAAAATTCTCCAACTATCTCCTGTCAAATTTTGTGGCCAGACACAAATCTATTTTCGATGCTCTATCTTAGCTTGTTTCTACTGCAACTCTACTATAGTGAACAGGAAACAAAACTAATTTTTATAAACTTAAAAGATGTCCTATTATAAGATACCCATTCCTTCAATATATTATCTATACCTTTTTCCTAATCATAGGAGCTTTGTCTGTTTCTTTCCTAATAGTTTCTAGGCTGTGACAAGACTAAAGAAATTTAGTCTTTTAGGGAAACAACATTAAAATAACTGAAAAGCTTTAACCCTTCCCAAGATTCTCTCTCTCTCTCACAGTGTCCTTTACTTTGTGGTAAACAAATGTACAAAATTCTCCAAAGAGACATTCAATCAGTGGTACCTCACTGCTAGATGTGGGAGTTCCCTAACAAACTCCATGCTTCCTAAGTCATGTCAGGTATGTCTCTATATATTTTTATCTTTATAATATTAAACAGATAGGAGTGGAAAATCTACAGTAACAGTATTTTCAAATGCTTCTTTCTGCTTAAAGATTAAGTCAACAGAATATCTCTAAACACACTGAGAAATGAAATTATTATCAGCAGAGAAAAACCATTATTTGCCTTCCTTATATACTGTCATGTTCTTTCAGAGAAAATTTCGCTGCAGAAGAAATTTAGTGTCTGAGTTCTGTATAAGCCATCATAAATCAATAGTGAGCAGTCTTTTTTTGGAAATAAGAAAATAACAAATCATAATTATCTTTTTTATAACCTATCTTCTTTCAACAAGAATTTGAATAAAAGCAAGATAATAAAATAGAACATAAACATGCATCAGTGGCACGGTGCCTCATCAGGAAAAGTAACAAAGGCAAGTATGTACTCTGTTCTCGATCCTGTGACTTATGCTTTTGAGGATCTTTTCATTTAATTCCCACAGTCACCCCATGAGGCAGAAATGACAATAGTCTCATTTGACACATACAGAAGCTGGGGCTCGAGATATTAGGTAAGTTAGCCTGAATGTACAACTGTCAATGTACCAACTGGACAAAGAAGGACATAGGTTATTAACATTTACTGTCCAACTATGGCTCTCAGTTACAATGTGACCTGTCCTTAGACCAATGGAGCACTTTAGCAATGGACTAGGAAAAACAAGATTACACATAACACAGGAATCAAAGAGTTTTTGTGTATTTTTAGTAAAATTCAGACACTGTGATTAATAAATGCAACAGTTTGCAGTAGGAAGACCATGCTGTTGCTTTTTTTTTTTTTTTAACTCAAAACCAAACTCACAAGCTCACACTTACCAGGCAAGAGCTTAAACTGAGCTACATCCACAGCACCGTGAAATCTGTTGTCTTTAAAGTACACTAAAACTAAACATACTAATGGCCAATGCCAGAGATGTTGACACTTCATGTAACATATATAGTCTAAAGATTTTCATGTAGACTTTTTAAATTTCCCTGCAAAGACTCAAATTTATCTCGCTACAACCTAGAAAATAGAAAGCAAAACTGTAGTGATTTAATGCCTGTGAAGCCAGGTCTGGTGCTACTTGCCTGTAACACCAGCACTCAGGAGGCTAAGGCAGGAGGCTCACAAGCTCAAGGCCAGCACCACATGGTGACAGCCTGTCTAAAAACAGCAGGGAGGGGGGATGCTTTGTCAAATAAAATAAAACTTCATGTAGCAACTTTGGCAAAGCAAAGCCAAGTCACATCTCTGAAATGTAACCATGCTGTGTGTGAAGGACAACCGTGACTATCTGTTTTACAGGGAGGCACACCAGAAGCCTAGGAGGAAGAGCGGGTGCAAGGAAGAGGCCAAGAACTGAGGAGGGCAAGAGGGTGGCTCAACAGTCCTGACCTGGAACCCCAATCTGGAAGGCCAGAAATACAAATATAAGGGGATCTGAACAGCTTTTGTGTTACTGCATCTCCTACATTTTCTAAAATGCTTCCTGATGGATTCAAAGTACCAGATGCTTCCAACAATCCATAGTAGAGATGAGAATGTACTGCCCCCAAATATGCCTCTTTGGCATAAAGCACTGTTGAGTTAAAGGCAATTAAGAAGCTGCACATGCAGGAAGTCTCTCTGCTCTCTTTCTATTTGCCTAAAAACAGGACACAGATTTAGACCGCTATTTTGCC